GAATCATAAGGTTTTGGCAATCCAACGTTTTTAGTTAATTCAAAGGAGATCGAATAATCATAGAATCACACTTTTTTTCAATTAATTCAAGAAAGAGTAATCATATTTTTAAAATCAATCGAGAGAAGAAACTAATATGGGAGGAATCATATACTTTGCCCAGAAATGGTGATTGTATAACAGTTTGTGAATCTTAAACCACAAATTAATTTTAATTTGAAGAAAGTTGTACTTATTATGTTGTTGAGAAACATTGTTCAATCATCTGAATTGTATAATAACATAAGTTTTATCATTAAAGAATTACAAAAAAATTATCTTCGATACAATTGTAGTATTAGGAAAGAAAGTGTTAAAAAATATTTAAATGACCTAAATTAAATAAATTACGTATCATTTCATACAAGATTATCCTTAAAATTTCAAAGAATATTACTTTCAATAAGTTATATTTCGTTATGATTATAAATAAAGTTAAGACAAAACATTGTCATTTATGAGATTTTTTACCAAGTCGTTATTCACTTATGATTAATTTTATATAATTGTTTCCAAGTGAGAGTAAAAGTACGGTTAAAAGACTTATTTTACCAAGTCGTTATTCACAAAAAATGTTGTATACCTCAAATTTTTTGAAATGTTTAAATTTAAAAAAGACTTTGACATTTAAATTTCAAATGCATGATGTAAAAATTATGTTTTATCATTATTTTAGCTTTTAGAGTTGATTTTTTATTTTGTAAAAATTTCAAATGCATGATGTAAAAATTATGTTTTTGAATTATTTTTACTTTGACATGTGGCACACTTATTGGACAATTTTTTTGACATGTCAACATGCCATGTCATCAAGTAATGTTTAAAGATTTAGTTAAAAAACTTATTCTATGGAAATTAAATTTCGTAGTTTTTACACACAAATTCCTCAGCATAATCGCGTTTAAAAACTTTTATATCTTAATTCATTATTGGAAAATATTTAAATTAAATAATATCTTTATATATAAAATTTGGGAGTTGAGCTTCTAGAATGACGACATTTGGCACGCTCACTAGACATTTTTAAACACCTCAAGACTCATGTCATCATTGACTTCTATGGATTTTTTTAATACATTGCCTTTGAGGCTATTATTCTTTTTTTATTTCAATGATATACTAAGATGAACATACATCCGGCTGTACTATATAATTTGCGGGCTGTGCTTAGTTACTTTATTGAGCCCAATGGACCAAGAGTTGTGTATATCCGGTTGTGTTATATACGTACGAGTTTTTTTGCATCATTTACCCTTGAACTCTTTATAAAATGCATGTTTTCTTCTCGAACTTACAAAAATGTACCAATAGTCCCTATATTTTTAGAAAGTGTGTCTTACCTTCGAAATCTTTAAGTTCATGTTTTCTTTAGAACTTTTAAAAGTGCATCATAGTCATTATACATTTTATAAAGTACATGCTTTTCCCCTGAACTTTCAAAAGTGCACCATAGTCATTTTTTATTCAAATTTAGTTAATGTTAAACCAAGAGAAATTCATCTTAAGTTCCAATCATGCACCACTTTAAAAAATATAACTAATGGTATAATTTTGAAAGTTCATGAGAAAACTACACACTTTATGAAAAGTACTATGACAACTACTACCTCCGTCTCCGAGTATTTGTCCACTTTCATTTTTACACACAATCCAATACACTTCTTTAATCTATTTTATCTTGTAATTTGTATATTAAAAAATTATAGAAATTATATATTAATAATCTATATGTTAAGACAAATCAAACAAGATCACACATGACTATATTTAGGCTTACACATTGAGAGAATTTGATCAGTCAAAGTGCTTAGATGAACAGTTCCAAAAGTCAAAACTAGACGAATACTCCGGGACGGAGGGAGTAATTAATAATGCACTTTCGAAAGTCAAGGGGAAAATATGTACTTTTTAAATAGTTCAAGAATAAAACACACACTTTATTAAAACTATATGGATTAATAGTGTATTTTTTAAAATTCAAAAGAAAGTGTGTACTTTATGAAGAGTTCAAGAATAAGTGATACAAAAAACTCATACACCTACTTCGAGAAACTTTTTTGGGTGAATGGAGTATCAATTAAGACGAGAAGTATGTAGACGTGTAGTGGAAAACTTTTTCTGAGGAATGAATTAAGTATGAATTAAGGAGGTATTTTTGTGTGCTGGTACTTATTTATTTATTGTTGATAAGAAATTTTTAATTTATAAGCTATTTATAAGTTAAATGTTTTTTCGTAAAAGGAAAATGACTTAAAAGATAGATACATCACTTTGAAATATTCATAAATTGTGATATACAGTTTTTTAAATAATTTGATCAAAATAGATTATCGAAAAAGTTGATTTTAAAATATATAAATAAGACCTATTTATTTTTTGACTTATAAATCATTTTATAAGTACAGAAAATATATTATCTGCTAATTTATAAGTTTCAAATGCTTATAAACTTATAAGCAAGAATGATCACGATCTCGTCTATTGTGGCTATAGGTGGGATCATATTGACCATTGACTATTTATATAATGGGCTAGTGACGCACTTGTCTTATTATGCTTGCTTGTTCTACAATACCACAACATGGTTGATAATATAACACATACACGCCTCACGAATGCGTGTTAATGTGTGTATTTATAAAAATAAGAAGAAATTTCTTTCTTTAAAAAGTATGTTGGAATTTTGACTCATAACGGGATAACTTTGGACGTAAATTCGGTAGAATTCACAAAATTATTTATCAACAAAATAATTATGGAAAAATATTATTCCAAGTGAGACGAGTATTTTGATATATTGTGCGCCAAAATTGGTGCTCGAATGAATAAGAAATTAATTCACAAAGTCGAATATTTGGAAGAGGTAAAACCCACATATCACACATCAGATTTGAGACCTTTCAACTTCTTCTATTTATATGCTAGTCTTTAATATCATTGTAATGTAATTTATGGAGGGAGAATCAATAAGGGAGCCCTCGCGCACCGCCGCCGTCTGTCTCGGCACGACAAGCCCCCGCGCACGAACGCGTGTTGGCGTGTGGCCCGTGCGACGCGTCGCGACGTGGTGAGGGCATGAGCTGAATCCTTATCCTTTTACGAGACAAAATTAAACACGTGTTGGCTTCGTTAATAACGAAGTGTTGGCATGCATGCACCATTGAAGGGACTTCGTGACCCGTTGGTTTGACCGTCCAGTCTGTCCCTTTGAGTCTCTCCCCTCCTATATAAGGAGGGCGAGTTCACAGCAAATACTTACTCAAAAATTTGCTCTCTGCGTCCAACAACCTTCAGTTTCTGATAAGTTTTTCCGGAAAATTGCTCCTCTTCGTTCCAGTTCGTTGGTGCATATATTGTTCTACCGCTCTAGACCTTGCATGTTAGCGGTTTTATCATGGGAGGGGATCGCCCACGTTAGCCAGTGCGAGAAGTGGACGATTCTGCTTTCATTCCTTCTCTGTTCAGTTTCCGACCACCGGCGATCTCTTCTTTTATTTTATTTTTTCACTTTGTAAAATCTAAAAGTATTATAAGTTCAGATTATTTTATTTTATTTTCTTCCCGCTGTAATATTTGAATTAGAAAACAAAATATTCTCTTATTCTCTTCATACTCTATTTTAAAAAATTATTCTTTTTTTATGTTTGTCAAAAATAATTTATCTTCTTTTTAAATAAAGGAATGTGTTTGTTCACAATTAAATAATTTATTTACTTTTCTAAAATATAAATTTTATTTTTAGATTCTATACTTATTTTCAAATAAATTGTATAGAATATAATTTTAGTCAAATGTCATTAACCAGAATAGACAATTTAAATTGGGATTGATGAATAATATACACTCTCCGTCCCTGAGTAATTGTCCACTTTTAACTTTTTTTTATCTAAATTGACAAATTAAACTTTGATCATAAATTAAATAAAAATAATATTAGACATTGTTATAAAAATAATTTTATTAGATTCATTTTATACAATATTTTAAAATATTAATGTATCTAATTAATATATAATATTAATTTTATTTAATTATTAGAAAAAAGTTAAAAATAATTAACTGCAAAAGGTCAAATTAAAACTAGTCAAAAATAATGTATCTAATGTTGTACGTTCTACGTAGTATACCCTTTGGCTCTTTCATTTTGACTTTAATTCTCAACGCACAAGTGCGAATTATATAGCCCTCCAAATTGACTATTCACGTTGTCGTCATTGCTAGCTGCCCTGCGCGATACTCCCTGCATCCCTTCCCCTTCTTCCAATTTTGACTTGTATTATCTCTAATATTTTAATCATTAGCATCTTTATTTATATATAGATATGTTAAATATGATATCTCAAAACTATATATTATTTCAACATAAAAATTATGATATTAAACTTAAATTCGAATTTATTGTATTTTGCTTATTTTGTGGTTAAAATTTCAAAAAGTAGACCCTAGAAATCAAAATTAGAAGGACCAAAAGTGGGAGTATAAATTAGACCTATTTGCAAATGGTTTTGCACCAAAAAATATAGAAAGAGAGAAAATATGAGGAATAGTGCTATACATTTTGCATTGCCTTTTCTCTTCGTGTACTTGGTTTCCCATGTTGGTGCTGCAAACTCCATAGATGATTTCCTCCAATGCCTTCCATCTCGTTCAACCCCATCTTTCCCCATCTCTAAGGTCATTTACACTCCTACTAATTCTTCCTTCTTAAACGTTCTTCATGCCTACATAAGGGATAGTAGGTTTAACACATCTTCAACCCCGAAACCTCTGGCCATAATCACAGCCTCTCATGTGTCACATATCCAAGCAACCGTGCTATGCGCGAAAGCCGCGGGACTCCAAGTCAGGATCAGAAGTGGAGGGCATGATTTCGAGGGCCTTTCCTACGTATCCCAAGTCCCATTTGTCGTTCTTGACATGTTCAACCTTCGATCTATCGATATTGACATACCAAGTGAAACCACTTGGGTTCAAGCCGGGGCAACTTTAGGTGAACTCTATTACAACATTGCTAGTAAAAGCAAAAACCATGCTTTCCCTGCTGGGGGCTGGGGTTTGTCTGACCCTGGCAACGGGAGGCCATTTTAGTGGCGGTGGGTATGGGAACATGCTTAGGCAATACGGTTTGTCTGTCGACAACATAGTCGATGCACAAGTGGTGGATGTGGAGGGTAGAGTTCTTAATCGACGTACGATGGGAGAAGATCTTTTTTGGGCTATTAGAGGTGGAGGAGCTGCTAGCTTTTGTGTTGTCTTATCATGGAAAATCAAGCTCGTACGCGTTCCTGATCTGGTAACGGTTTTCAATGTTCCTAGGACATTGGAACAAGGTGCAACAAACATTGTCATGCAATGGCAACAAGTTGCTTCTAGAATTGACAGAGAACTCTTCATTCGAGTGCAACCACAGGTCCAGTTCATAGGAGGAAAAAAGACTGTACAAGTTTCGTTCATCGGGTTATATCTTGGAAACTCTAGCTCCTTGCTCTCATTAATCAACAAGAACCTCCCTCTTTTAGGCCTAAGAGGCCAGGACATTCTTGCAATGCCATGGGTCAATACGACCCTCTTTTGGAATTCCATCCCTACAAACACTCCTCTTGAAGTACTATTGCAGCGGTCACCGACTCCTTCTAACAGCTACCAGAAACACAAATCAGATTATGTAAAGACGCCTATTCCAAGATCAGGGCTAGAGATAATATGGCAAAAGATGATGGGTTTCGACAATGTGTTGACGTTAATGCAATGGAACCCGTACGGTGGGAAAATGAGTGAAATTCCTGAGAGTGCGACGGCTTTTCCTCACAGAGCAGGAAATATATTCAAGATGCAATATATCACAATATGGCAAGATGGTAGTGATGGGTCTTTGAGTAAGAACATGGAGGCCACTCGAGAACTTCATGTGACGTTCACTCCTTATGTGTCTAGGAATCCGAGAGAAGCATTCTTGAATTACAGGGACATTGATGTTGGAACCAACGAGAACGGAAGCTCGGTTTTTGCTTTCGATTTCTTCAAGGATAATGTGAAGAGGCTCTTGCAGGTGAAGGCCAAGGTTGATCCAACCAATTTCTTTCGATATGAGCAGAGTATTCCATTGTCTTCTACCCCGTAGCAATGGATTGAACATGCAAGGAACATATATGTGTGATGGGTGGTAGGATTATTATTATTATTATTATTATTATTATTATTATTATTATTATTATTATTATTATTATTATTACTACTACTATTATTATTATTACTATTATTATTATTATTATTACTACTACTACTATTATTCTTATTCTTATTCTTGTTATTATTAGATGGATTGAATTTGTTAGTTTAAGCAATTTGATTAGTATAAGATTATACGGTATGGGTTTAATTATATACTCGTATATGGTATACTATTTTTTGTGACCATCAACGCAGTTCATCAATAATACTTGCTTGTGAATACAGCCTACATATTATGAATGTGTTTGCAAGGGATTCATTGTTTTTGTAGTCTTCATTATTTATCCTTTCTTTTGCACTAAACAAATGATGTACCCAAGCCAAAAATATTACTCCATCCTAGCATGTTTTCTTTTCTTTTCCTTTCTTTTTTTTCGTACGTCCCACATTGTTTTAATCTATGGAGTACATAAATTTCAACAACATAATTTTATTTTATTAATCTCATCAAATTGAGCAAAACAAATTGAGAGTATATATTCGTAAAACTATGTTTGTTTGTAAAAAAAACACTTGAATTGATAAGAAATCCGGCTTTGGATTGATCACGCAAAAAATGCATAACATGGCTCTGTCGACTACGCTAGGGTTGCTCTTTTGCCTTTTCCATCTCTCGACTGCATGTAAAAATAATAATATTAAATGATTGCATAAGCTCCACAATATAGTACTCCCTCCGTCCCAAAATGAATTTTATTTTGCAAATGTGTGTTAAAGTGTTAAACTTTGAACATTATTATCTATTCATCCCAAAGAGAAGTATAAGAAAAGTGTTAGCTTATGTTGAAAAAAGAAATAATTGTTTTGAGCCACATATTCCTTTCCTCAAAACAAGATAGGGAGAGCATTTATGACGAAAAACAATTTCATACTTCGTAAAATTTATAATTTTTTACTATATAGTTTACGAAAAATTGTCGGTCAAATTTTGGCACCAGGTAAAGGCTCAACTCTAGGACGGGGATGTAGGCACGCGTGCGCACGCACACACATGTGTGTGTGTGTGTGTGTGTGAGAGAGAGAGAGAGATGGGTACCTGTGCAGCAGCAGATCTTTTTGAATCAAGAAACTGGTTATAAATATCATACAGCCTCTGCTTCTCAGCCTCAGGAACTGATGGTTTAGCCTTAGCAGCAACTGATTTCAAAAGAACATCTGTGATAACAGGTGCCATTCCAATTACGCCGCCATCTTTGCTTTCCAGAAGCGCGTGAACTGCTTCAAGCTGTGTATCTGAAAGAAGCGCTTGAAGGTCAGCTCCACTGAAGCCTTCAGTCATATAAGCTATGGCTTCCAAGTCTACATCGCTGGCCAATGGCAGCTGCTATGCAAACTATCAGATTAGTACATCAAGAAAACTTAGAATCTCAGGGTCCAAATAAAGATAACTCAAAAAGGTTTAGCATCTGGTGGAGAATGGTTATCAGCAAGGAAGAACAACAACAACCCAGTTGGATCCAACGAGAGTCAGGGTATGTACACAAACCTTGCCCCTACTCAAAAGTAGAGAGGATGTTTCCAAAAGACCCCCGGCTCAAGAAACATAGATACAAAGCACATAAAGGCAAAGAACAAACTAATTAAACGAAGCAAAAACACAGCTAGCAGAGAGCACAAAGCATACAAAGCACACAAGTGGAGAAGCTACCACTTAGGCCAAAGCGCCTACGCAACTACCCTAATCCTAGTTCTCCAAATGCTCCTATTAAGGGCAAGAAGTCGTAGATCACGACTAATCACCTCCATCCAATTCTTCCTAGACCTTCCCCTTCCCCTACTCCCACCCACCAATGTAAGTCTTTCGCATCTTTGCACATGAGCATCAACACTCCACCGCCTCACATGCCCAAACCACCTCAATCTAGCTTCCCATAGTTTATCTTCCATAGGGGCCACGCTGTTAAAGTGCATCCCACATCGGAAGTTCAAAAGTAAAAATGATTCGGTATATAAGCTCTTAAGTTGAACTAACTAATCGATTGGATTCAATCTTTTAATGTGGTTCAGCCCAAGTGTCTTATTGCCAAATCCAGTTGTCCAAATCTCATCCTAAATTCTATCATGGTATCAGAGTAGGTTTTGGCCCACCTCGTCTGTCCAGGTGTCTGTCTAGACATTCATTCCTAGCGGCCCGTTAGTCTTTAGCCCAGTTATCTGTATAGAGTATGTACCCAACGGCATGTGGCCCGTTTAACACGATTGCTCGTCTGGAATTCCATACCCAGCGGCTCATGGTCCTTTAGGTGTGGGCACTCAAAAAAATCAAGGGAATGAGAGTTTATTTGCAAGTGGTCAACCGGTTAAATTCAAAATGGCCCGATTGTCCACTTGAAAGGGGGGGGGTGTTAAAGTGCATCCCACATCGGAAGTTCAAAAGTAAAAATGATCTGGTATATAAGCTCTTAAGTTGAACTAACTAATCGATTGGATTCAATCTTTTAATGTGGTTCAGCCCAAGTGTCTTATTGCCAAATCCAGTTGTCCATATCCCATCCTAAATTCTATCACATGCCTACCCGTCCTCGGATTACCTCATTTTGAATCCTATCCATCATCGTCTTCCCACTCATCCAGGACAGCATCCGCATCTCCGCAGCATGCAGCTGACGGACGCAGGTTTTCTTAACTGCACAGCACTCCCCACCATAAAGCATAGCTGGCCTTACTACGAGATGATTTTTTGCCAGTTTTTGGTTGAAAAGAAAGAGCAATTTTTCTACATCCTTTTTTGTCAGACATAAAATCAAACCACTAGCTCAAACATCTAATGTTCTTAAAAGTAAAACCAACAGTGAACTAGAGTATTGAAACTATGGTACTAACCTTTCTAGAAAGGACTCTTAGAATATCCAACCTTTCCCCTGGTGATGGGAAATCACAATATAAGAGTCGGTCTAGTCTACCGGGTCGTAGAAGTGCAGCATCCAGCAAATCCGGTCGACTGTTTTATTTCACCAAATTCAAAGAGTCAGTTTCAATTTCAGTGCAAGATAGAGAGACATTGAAAGAAATAGAGGATGTACAATACACATAAGACAACACCCAGTGAAATGGAATGAACAATGGCCCCATCCTATAAGGCAATGGCAAGTAACATGCATATGCACTTACTAAAGAGCAGAACTCACCTAGTAGCCGCAAAAACAAACACGCCGGTCAAAACTTCAACACCATCTAACTCTGTCAGAAACTGGGGGAAAGTAAAATGGAGAAAAATGAGACTACTAAGAAAGAATGTGAAAAACATTGGCCAGCACAGGACAAAAAGGAACTCACTTGATTGACTACTCTATCTGTCACTCCAGTGTTATCATGCCCTCTCTTTGGAGCGATCGAATCAAATTCATCAAAGAAGAGAATGCATGGGGATGCTGCTGCCGCCTTACTGAAAATATCTCTGACCTGCAAGGAATCATGGTTATAGTCAACCATTCCGTGGATTCCATAGTTGTGAAATGGGGTCTTAGTGTTATATTTCCACAATTCGCGAAGATAAACCTATTTTCCATTTGCTCTTATTCTCCTCCGGCCCATATACCAGACCAAAAATAGCTTTCTCACATCCATCTATCACCTCCAGCTCCTCGGTCGGGGGTGGGGTTTAGAAAGAGTAAAGTGACTAGATATGCCTGCCCGGCAGTGAAAAAGCAATCGATCGTACAATATTTTATTTCTTCTACAAAGAAAGAAAACTGTCAAGCAAGGAAGGCGCAGTAAAGAAAGGGCCGGCCAAAACCGGACCGGACCGGTCCTTCTTTGGCCCGGTCTTTGGTCCTCATTTTTTACTTATTCGGGTTCCGGTCCGGTCCGGTCCACCGGGTTTCGGTCCGGACCGGTGGACCGGTTACATTTTATTTTTTTAAAATATTTTTTCCTATATAGTTTTATAATATTGTATTTTTTTAAGGTTTTTTCTTATACTTAAAATTAATTTAACTTTAATACTAAAAGTTTTTTAAATGTTTTGATTTTATTATTTAATATAATTTTTTAAATACATTTTCAATTCAAAATAAGATACCAATTCTAATGATTTTTAAATATTTTTAATATGAAAAGTGTGAAAAAGTAAACATTACCTTTATATTACCGATCTAATGCATTTCAAATTTATCTACCAATACTATAACTTAAATTTGTACTTTATCAATAATGAGACTCTAATTTGCAAAAACAAACATTGTAAACAATCTCATGAACAAAAATAGTAAAAAATGTATCCGTTTGTCAAAATAAATCAAAAACTCAAAAAAATGTTACAAAAAAGCAAAAATGCACTAAGAAGAAGAATATTCCCTATGTAAAATAAAAATTACGAACAAATTTTATGTAATACGGATGGAAGATATATATTTTATTTAAAGTTTTTTAAAAAATTCAAAACAACTGTGTTTGACAATGTTTAGTGTATGTTACAATTAAAAATTAGTTGTAGTAATATTTTTATTCAATTGAATACTTTAAATTAAATAAATAAAATCAAAATTAAAAAAAATTAAAAATAACATTTATTAGTTCTGGTCCCGGTCCGGTCCGGGCTTTACCGGTCCGGTCCCGGACCGGTCCTTAGCTTAATCGGTCCGGTCCTCGGTCCACCAAATGCCCCTTATTCAGTCCCGGTCCGGGCCGGGTTTGACCCGATGAACACCCCTAATGGGAATACAAAAACATAGCACATCATACAACATCTAGGTAGATATTACATTTTCATGCTACCTTTTGCTGAGAGTTCTTGTGACAATTATATTATGAGAATGGAACGGCTTTAAAGTAGGCTACTGCCCATCCATCTCCCAACAAACATTGTTAAGGTGACAATAGAGTTCTCCATATTTATTTTCAGCAATTAGTGATTGTTACTCTTTTGAAATCTACATTTGGTTCTAGAAACCAAACTCAATGTTCAACTACTTCTGCACTTAAACAACACTACACAAAACTATTT